TAATATTACTTTTCCTTTCTTTTGCGATGGTTTCGATACCAAATGTTCTAGCTGGTAATTTATGATTATATACTTCTTCTATTTATAAGTATCTTCTTTATATATACATGCGTATATTGGATGTGTGTATATATCTATACGCTATATAATATGTACATACATATATTGCGATTCTTATAATATTGTAACGTGCGTGTACACCGTATGCGTACACGCGACACTGATTATTGTATAATGTAAGGTATATTGGTATTGCTGATAAACTATTTCGCGACGCGAGAATGTCCAAAAAAGTATTAACGTATCGACGTTCGTTATTGTTTGTAAGCCTTCTTTCTCGTAAAAAACGTACAAGCTGTCTTCTGTAGACAAGCGAGGAGAATAAAGACGATTGTAATGAGAGCTATTTTCGTTATTTGTTCCAATTACGATAGAAATCACACGTAAATACGCGTTGCTTCGTTATTGGATAAATTTCATTCGCATATAACGAACAACACTTTTACTTCTCACGAATCTAAAACTTCTGTATTCTTCGTTATTCTTCGTTATATGTTCCAATTATAATAGAAATCACACGTAAATACGCGTTGCTTCGTTATTGGAAAAATTTCATTCGCATATAACGAACAACACTTTTATTTCACACGAATCTAAAACTTCTGTATTCTTCGTTATTTGTTCCAATTACAATAGAAATCACACGTAAATACGCGTTGCTTCGTTATTGTAAAAATTTCATTCGCATATAACGAACAACACTTTTATTTCTCACGAATCTAAAACTTCTGTATTCTTCGTTATTCTTCGTTATTTGTTCCAATTACAATAGAAATCATACATTCATACTCGTTGCTTCGTTATTGTAAAAATTTCATTCGCATATAACGAATAACATTTCTATTCCTCCCTAATCTAAAACTTTTATTCATTATACGCGAATAAAAATCCATGAAGGGGTAAATAATTACATATCTGATATTTTTCAATTTTTTTTATTTCATCGTTTGATCATAGTAAACTTTCAATGCTTGCAATTGCAATCGAACATACTCCGGTTCAGTTTCCGACCATAAAAGCAAAGATCGAAACGAACGATCTATTTCCTTCTCGTCCACTGGCTGATTTTGATCGATCGATTGATCTGTGGAGAATTCCACGCTGTCTTCGAGCTTGATTTCCGGGTTACAGTTTTCCGTGGTCGTGTCAGCTTCCGTGTTGTCGTCAATGGGGTCGCCAGTGAGAATACCATGGCGAATTTTGAATTTCCATAACCAGCCAGTGGAGGCCTTAAAAATCGAGGGACCGCCATATTCCTTATAAAGAGCCTTTGCTTTTTCTTGAAGTATCGAATTACTCAATTGATTACCCATTTCTTGTTGTTGCATGAACCACGAATACAAACGAGTTTCCACGTCACTTTGCAAAGGTTTTCGCATCCTCTTCCTTATAGAGCTGTTTTTCGCCAATTTTTGCGACTCTTCGCGTATTTGCACCTCGTTCTTCCTGATTCGGTAGATGGTTGCAATATTAACGCCGTATTCTTTGCATAGTAGACGCTTCGCGACGCCATCTTTCAATTTCTGTATTACGTCCAGTCGTTGCTGTATCGTCAACGAAACGCGTTTGCTATACTGTTTAGACATGTTTCGTCGAATAAAACGAGTCGTGATCAAAAAACAGTATTTTTTCTATATAAGCGAAACTTTTCATACTCTATCGAAGCCCACTAAATAGAGAGTTTTTGCTTATACTGAATCGATATTCTCACTTTTACCTCTGCCTCTCTTTACGGTGAAAATTAAACACTGATTCGATATAGGCAAAACGCGAGAATCAGCTGTGCTTCGATACAAGCGAATCGTGTCGTGTTACAATGGTCGACTGATTTAGATTCTTTCTTCTTCGCGAGATTCGTCGTACAACACGATTTGATTGACTTGTAGTAATAATTTGTTTATCCAGAGGCGGTGTAACTCACTTTATGCAACTTGCAATCGGTGCAACAGTACGTTTTATCGAAGCACTACTGTACATGCATGCACGTGGGCGTTGCATCCGCGCAAGGACGCGACTCAGCGCCTCCAATGGCGGAACTCGAAAGCTCGGTCGTTGTGCATGCGCAAACCGATGCGCAGAAGGCTGTTTGACACGCAGTGCACCAGTGGGAGCCCAGAGGACACTATTGCTCCTCCATTTATGCAAACTAACGCGCTTTATAACCATTTCCACTACTGAAAATTACAATAAATGGAAATCATGATATTTTTATGGATCGAATTATGATTGTAATTAATTTTTACACATTTTTTTTTAAATTCTTGGCACAATATGCACTATAATTTATCGATAGGTCCATGTAAATAAATTTTATATTAATATAGGACCTCTTGCACGGTTTTGCCTCGTTTTTTTTTATAAAATAATTGTTTTCGGAGTGTAAAACGAGGAGATCGAAGGAACTTTGGTTCCATCTATCTTCTTTCGGGTCTCCAGTCGCAGCAACCTCCTCGTGGTGAGACCTGGTAATCGGTGTTACCCACAATTAACATATTTTCATCATTTTTTCTCCTTTTTTTATTTAACTTTCTCTTTGTGGGTACCACCGAGCTAATGGCTGCGAATTTAGAATAGTTTCTTCAAATAAAATCATTCATAACAACCCTGTACACCATATGAGGGAAGAACAAAATTTTCTATGTTTGATAACTTATGGTTTCAATACTCTAAACATTGTCAAATTTGATAAATATTTATTTTTGTAAGAAATTATTCTTTATTATATTTTAGTGACAGTACATGGTTTTCTATTACGAAATATACTTTTTCCACATTACAAAGTCGATATATATTTTTCATAAAAATTTTTTTGGCACGATTACAATATTCTTACAGGAATAGGCACTTAGATGAATTTTTTTCTCGAAAATGCGTAGGATTTCGAGGGTATGTCTGTTCACCAAAAATGATTGTAATTGACCCCTACAATTGAAAATAATTTTTTTAGAATGATTTGAGAATTTTCATTTTCGTCGAAAAATTTGACTACCTTCTTGAATTTTTTTCTCGAAATTGCGTAGGATTTTGCGGGTATCTGTAATAACCAAAAATGATTGCAATTGACCTCTGCAACTAAAAATAATTTTTTCAGAACGATTTGAAATTTTTTTTTTTAGGCACCTCTACCTTGTCGATTTTTCTTAGGAATTAGTTTTTCATTTTTAATAAATTTGTTTGACGCGCTACGGAAATTTTGTTTAATACTTTTTTGTAGGTATCCATAAGCTCTACTTCCTCCCAAAATTTCATTGAAATATATTCACTATTGTAGGAATTATGGTCTTTTGAAAATTGGACCATTTTTATGGGGTTTTCTTTAATCTTACGGGGTGAAGGAACAAATTTTTCAGTATTTTTACAATTTCTACATATTCTTCACTAAAATACGCGTTGTTTGCTTTTTGAAAAATTAGAATCCTTCGATCCGTTCGGGAGTTATGGCATTTTAAAGATTCGCATGAACTTTTTGGGCAACTTTTCTGGCCTTACATTATATTTTCATTAAAATACAATATTCTTACAGGAAAATTGGGTAAATTAAAAACAAAAATTCCTTTACCAGAGATTGTTACATATTGCAAACATATACAACGTTAATATTTATAAAATGCAAGTAAAATTAACAACAAATGTAACAAAAAGATGGCTTATGCAGCTTTATTCACGAGCCTTATGATTACTTGGAGTAGAAAATGTTTAAAAAAATGTCTTAAACAACTATATCGATGCAAAAAGTAATAATTAAAAAATTCTCAGATATAATTTACACAGTTTTAATTCCTCATACTCGTTGAAATATATCTCAATATTTATTTATTAATTATATTTAAAAGAATTTTTACTTTTTTAATAAATAAAAACATTTTAAATGTTTATCAAGACTAAAACAGTGATATATAGATTGACAAGAGAGCGAAGAGTGGCAATCATAATTTATTATGTACACAAGCAGATATTTATTTTAAATTATAAATGCAGTACAGTTTAATTAATTTTCGTTATAAATCACAATAACGGGGGGACTAAATTTTTTGACTAGGCTGTAGCCATCAGATTTCCACTGTACAAGTGTTATTGTTTAAACGTTAACGCTTTACCGACCGGTAGCGGTTGATTAATCGGCTATCGGTCGGTAAACGTCGACCGATAAAACAGTTGATTAATAGGCTAGCGGTCGGTAAGCGTTGGCCGGTAAAACAGTCGATTAATACGCTATCGGTCGGTAAGCGTTGGCCGGTAAAACAGTCGATTAATAGGCTATCGGTCGGTAAAGTGTTAACGTCGCTTATTATTACGGAAAATCGTTATTGTTCACGTTAATGCAATTATTTACACAATGAAACGTGGACAATATCGAGTCGAAATTTTATACATATGGCATGCATTGGCGCTCATTTTTCCCATAATTTTCAACCAACACAATAATAAATATTTTACATTATCTTCGCTTTTTTTTTCAATAATAATGCAATTAACATTCGAGTTTCCATTGAAAACTCGAATGTTTACTTTCTTTTAGGGGCAACGCGAGCTTGTTTATTGTAAGTATGTACACAACTTTTCGAGCTCCAAAAACTCGAAAAATTAAATAAAAAACAGATGCAATTGAGTCGATGAAAAATGTACAGGTAAAATATTAAATAAATATAAATTCTCCAAAATTGAAATTCGAATCAAATATTAATATATCGAAGTTGAATTTAAAAAAAAAATTTCTGAAAGTTTGAGAGAAAATACTATTGAATTCTTTCTTTTGCAATGAATTTGTTAATAATTATTTGTTTTTTTTTAGGATATAAATTCTCCAAAATTGAATTTCGAGTCAAATATTAATATATCGAAGTTGAATTTAAAAAAAAAATTTCTGAAAGTTTGAGAGAAAATACTATTGAATTCTTTCTTTTGCAATGATTTTGTTAATAATTATTTGTTTTTTTTTTTTAGGAATAGCGACTACGAGGTGGACGAACTTTAACTCGTTTTTGCATTCGGGGGGATCGAGAAGTTACGCGAAATTCGAGGGGCAAATCGTAACAACGACACACGCAACAGCTTGGGAACTTGAACCAGTCGCTGAAGATGCCACGACACTCGTTATTTGGATCGTAAGCCAACAGTCTGTGGAGTCTGTATTGTTGCTCGCATCTGCATCCGTCTCTGCAGTACATCTGTTTGTTCTCATGACTTAAATCAAACAGATTAGACAGATTAGATAGATTAGACAAGTTAACTTTGGGAGTCCTGTGTACCACGATTTTAAAATTCATATTTTTACACGAGATCTTTATGAAAAGTCATATTTTTATTCGTATCTTGCTTTAAGTATTTTTTACATTTTTGCATAACATATTTTTACACCAGATCTATATGGATCAAACAGATTAGACAAATTAACTCTGAGAGTCCTGTGTACCACCATTTTAAATTCATATTTTTACACGAGATCTTTATGGAAAATTCATATTTTTATTCGTATCTTGCTTTAAGTATTTTTTATATTTTTGCATAATGTATTTTTACACCAGATCTTTATGGAAAATTCATATTTTTATATATTTATGGAAAATTCATATTATTATTCGTATCTTGCTTTAAGTATTTTACATATTTTTTCATAATGGATTCTGTTGCTTCTTAGAATTAAAATTGTATTTAATTGAAAATTTTTAGGGGAAAGGAGGTTTTGCAATTTTAAAATTTGTTTTAAAAGTGTTTTTCTCGATACTCACGTGCATTTTTCCCAGTGGACGTATTGTTCAAAGGGGTAGAGATTCAACAGCGCCAAAACTTCCCCTCTTGTGTTGTTTGCCCAGAAGGGTGCAACGACCTCCTCCTTCACAGGACAAGCATTCCTGAAATATTAAATAAAACCATAAATTTAGTCACTTGTTTAGTGTTTGAGCCATCGAAAAGTCACATTGGAAGTTAATTTATACCCTTCTTGTACGATATTATTAAATTTTTATAAATATTTAAATTAAGGCGCTAGTTACTATCTTTAGGGGTTGAAATAACCCTCCCAATTTCTATTATTAAAAGCATCCAACATCCAACATCCAACATCCAACATCGAACATCCAACATCCAAAGAATCCAAGTCCGCCATCGTGACAAAAATATAAGAAATATTTAAAGCAAGGCGTGAGTTATTGTATTTAGGGGTTGAGATTTCCCAATTTCTATCATTAAAAACATCCAACATCCAACATCCAACATCCAAAGAATCCAAGTCCGCCATAGTGACAAAAATATAAGGAATATTTAAATTCAGGCGCGAGTTATTATCTTTAGGGGTTGAAATATTCCAATTTCTATCATTAAAAACATCCAACATGCAACATCCAAAGAATCCAAGTCCGCCATAGTGGCAAAAATATAAGAAATATTTAAATTCAGGCCCTAGTTACTATCTTTAGGGGTTGAAATAACCCTCCCAATTTCTATTATTAAAAGCATTCAACATTTAACATCCAACATCCAACATCCAACATCCAAAGAATCCAAGTCCGCCATTGTGACAAAAATATAAGAAATATTTAAAGCAAGGCGTGAGTTATTGTATTTAGGGGTTGAGATTTCCCAATTTCTATCATTAAAAACATCCAACATCCAACATCCAAAGAATCCAAGTCCGCCATAGTGACAAAAATATAAGGAATATTTAAATTCAGGCGCGAGTTATTATCTTTAGGGGTTGAAATATTCCAATTTCTATCATTAAAAACATCCAACATCCAACATCCAAAGAATCCAAGTCCCCCGTTGTGCCAAAAATATAAGAAATATTTAAATTCAGGCGCTAGTTACTATCTTTAGGGGTTGAAATAACCCTCCCAATTTCTATTATTAAAAGCATTCAACATTTAACATCCAACATCCAACATCCAACATCCAAAGAATCCAAGTCCGCCATTGTGACAAAAATATAAGAAATATTTAAAGCAAGGCGTGAGTTATTGTATTTAGGGGTTGAGATTTCCCAATTTCTATCATTAAAAACATCCAACATCCAACATCCAAAGAATCCAAGTCCGCCATAGTGACAAAAATATAAGGAATATTTAAATTCAGGCGCGAGTTATTATCTTTAGGGGTTGAAATATTCCAATTTCTATCATTAAAAACATCCAACATCCAACATCCAAAGAATCCAAGTCCCCCGTTGTGCCAAAAATATAAGAAATATTTAAATTCAGGCGCTAGTTACTATCTTTAGGGGTTGAAATAACCCTCCCAATTTCTATTATTAAAAGCATTCAACATCCAACATCCAACATCCAACATCCAACATCCAACATCCAAAGAATCCAAGTCCGCCATTGTGACAAAAATATAAGAAATATTTAAAGCAAGGCGTGAGTTATTGTATTTAGGGGTTGAGATTTCCCAATTTCTATCATTAGAAACATCCAACATGCAACATCCAACATCCAAAGAATCCAAGTCCTCCATTATAACATCCAAAGTGTCTCCTATCGAATAAAAGTGAAAGACCCATGGATTCCCCAACAAACGCAAATAAAACGCCTACTTACACTCCTCTGAGTTTCAGAACCGGTTGTTCCTGTTGATCTTTCGCGGCTACGTCCTGGTACAGCTGCCCCTCCATGGAAGAGGAGGCTTCCGGCTTGCCCGCCGGTCGATATTCCGGTCGAGGTTTGAACTCCTGTTGCTCGTTCGAGCTGGAAGTCTCCTCAACAGTCGTTTCTTTCGGCGTGGCAAACAGGTCTCCGCTGATATCGAGCTCAGCAGGCAGTTCCGTCATTCCTGGCAAACTAACAGTCGAAGTTTCCTCGAAATCTATGTCCGGGGCCTCTGAAACGTCCGCCATTTCCTCGAGTTCCTCCTCCATCTTGTCCAGTTGCTCTGGAATTTCGTTTAGGCTGAAATTCTGCTCCCTGACGACCTGGGGAGCCATAATCGACGATGTTTCGTCGCTGTTCTCAGTTTTAGCGTCGTTTGTATCGTTCACTGAGATCGTTGTAGATTCACGCGGTACCAAAATGGCCGCTGGGGATGTAGATGGCGCGGATGGCGTTTCAGTGACCAACGAAACGGTGATCGTAGAGGTCGCTGTCGTCGTTGTGGTAGTCGAAGTGGATTTCTCGGTTGGTCGGAAGTGAGGTCTCGTGTACTCGCTCAATTTTGGAAATTTGTTCGATCGTTTGCCGCCATTGTCGTTGAACGATCTGCTCGTGAAGCCTCGTCGCTCGTACTCGTCGTCGTTTCTTAAGTTTTCTTCGTTTTCGAAGTACTCGTAATCGTGAGAATATTGATATTTTCTGAAATAATTGTTTTTGATTAGATCAGTCATAGTATATTTATTCGATCTGTAAAAATGAAAATTAAAGTAATTTTCTTGGATATATATTTTTGAACAAATTATAAGATTTTATTAGGGATTTTTGCAAGTTACATTGACATTGTTTATTGCACATTGAAATAGTCAATTTTTACGAAAATTAAAGTAATTTTTTTGGATATGTATTTTTGAAAAAATTGTAAAATTTTATTAGGGATTTTTGCAAGTTACATTGATATTGTTTATTGCATATTGAATTAGTCAATTTTTACTGTAAATTTACCTGTGTTCGTCGGAAAAGTGGTGGTAATATTCGTCATTTTTTAATTCTATGTCATTTTTTTCGAATTCTGCTCTCAGTACATTAATGTGTCTCTCGTCTCCGTACATTCGTCTCATTAATCCTTGATTCTCTTGTACGAAACGTCGAACAGCGTGCCTGAAATTCGAAATATGCAATTTATTGTTAGAAAATAATAGTTTTATAATGAAATTTTTGGCCATTATTAATAGTAACACATATTTTCGGTAAAGAATTTTTTTCTCCAAAGTGGGTAGGATTTTGGGGGTATGTGTATTCACCAAAAATGATTGTAATTGACCCCCTTAATCGAACATATTTTTTTTAGAACGATTTGAAAATTTTCAATTTGGTCGAGAAATTTGAGGACCTATTCGAATTTTTTTCTCGAAAATGCGTAGGATTTCGGGGATATGTCTATTCGCCAAAAATGATTGTAATTGACCCCCTTAAACGAACATATTTTTTTTAGAACGATTTGAAATTTTTCAATTTGGTCGACAAATTTGAGGACCTATTCCAATTTTTTTCTCGAAAATGGGTTGGAATTCGAGGTTATGTCTATTCACCAAAAATGATTGTAATTGACCCCCTTAATCGAACATATTTTTTTTAGAACAATTTGAAATTTTTCAATTTGGTCCAAAAATTTGACCACCTTGTCGAATTTTTTTCTCCGAAATGGGTAGAATTTCGTGGATATGCCTATTCACCAAAAATGATTGTAATTGATCCTCCTAGCTAGAAATAATTTTTTCAGAACGATTTGAAAATTTTCATTTTCGTCGAAAAATTTAGGCATCTACTCCGTGTCTATTTTTCTTAGGAATTCGTTTTTCATTTTTAATAAATTTGTTTGACGCGCTACGGAAATTTTGTTTAATACTTTTTTGTAGGTACCCATAAGCTCTACTTCCTCCCAAAATTTCATTGAAATATATTCACTATTGTAGGAATTATGGTCGTTTGAAAATTGGACCATTTTTATAGGGTTTTTTAAATTTTACGGGATGAACGAATAAATTTTTCAGTATTTTTACAATTTCTACATATTCTTCACTAAAATACGCGTTGTTTGACGCTTTAAACATTAAAATCCTCCAATCCGTTCAAAAGTTATGGCGTTTTAAAGATTCGCATGAAATTTTAGGGCAACATTTCTAGCCTCACATTATATTTTCGGTAAAGAATTTTTTTCTCGAAAATGGTTAGGATTTCGAGGGTATGTCTATTCACCAAAAATGATTGTAATGGACCCCTGCAATAGAAAATAATTTTTTCAAAACGATTTAAAATTTTATTTTTTCGTCAAGAAATTCCATACCTTCTCGAATTTTTTTCTCGAAATTGAGTAGGATTTCGAGGATATGTCTAATGACCAAAATTGATTGTAATTGACCCTCGCAATTAAACAGAATTTTTTTAGATCGATTTGAAATTTTTCAATTTCGTCGAAAAATTTGTCCAACTTCCTGAATTTTTTTCTCGTAATTGGGTAGGAATTCGGGCGTACGTCTATTGATCAAATATTATTGTAAATGACCCTGCTAGCTAGAAATAATTTTTTTAAAACGATTTGAAATTTTTTAATTTCACCAAAAAATTTGACCACTTTTCCGAATTTTTTTCTCGAAAGTGCGTAGGATTTCGAGCTTATACCTTTTCACCAAAAATAATTATAATTAACCCCTGCAACTAAAAATAATTTTTTCAGAACGATTTGAAAAAATTTTTTTTCGTCGAAAAATTTCTCCATTTTCCTCTTAAAAAACGTGCTTGAATTTTGTTTTAAACGAACGTGAAACATGATTTTAAGCCAAAGAGCTAAAATCTGACCGCCATGGCTCTCTACCAGCCATATCAGCGAGAGTAAAAGTACTTCCTCGTCGTCTTTTCAGTTTAGTCACGCGCGATTTTAATATTTGATGGCATTCGGTATCTCGTTTGAAATTCATAGCGCACAGGATATACACGTTCTAGCAACGAAGACACACTACTGTCTCTTTCCGTTCACCAAATTAACTTTCTACTGTTTTCAATCTTAACGACGTTATTAGAAAACGAGAAATCGAATGAAATTAAAAACAAAACAACAAGATGAAAGTAAAACACGTGTGTCAATATTCCCTACAATTTTAATAATATATTTACTTCAAAATAATCACAGAACACTTGCAATTTTTGCAATTATTAATTCCTCAATTTCTATGTTTCAAATCTCTCATTTATATTCGTTTAAATCAGTATCACCACTTTTCTCACACGATTCGTGCAAAAGGAGGGTCAAGTGTAATTTTGATATATTTACCTTAAAATAGTCACAGTACACTTGCAATTTTTGCAATTATTTATTCCTCAATTTCTCTGTTTCAAATCTCTGTTTATGTTCGTTTAAATCAGTATCACCACTTTTCTCACGCGATTCTCTTTTACTCGCTTTCACCGTGCAAAAGGGGGGTGTCAGGTGTACTTTCTTCGACCCTACTTTGGCATAATAATCTCGTTTACGTACCATGGATAAGCACTTCCGGCAATCGCGCACCAGTTCTGTCGTCGAAAATCGCAGGGCAGATTCGCGAATCGCGCGCGACTCGAACGCGAATACGGTTTGCTGCACGCTGAGGATGCATCGTATCCGAATGTACTTGGCCCACCACCTCCTTGACATCTCACGTGTTGATATATGATCACCTGTCAACAATAATTAAAATCAATAACTTCTTTCTGATCCAAAACCATGCACTCTGCAAGTCGTTGAAATCTCCACAGTTTTATAACTTTTGTTCTAAGCTAAAGCAATAATAATTAATTTTGCCGACGCAGTGATTCGTGGCGAGCAAAATCCAGCAATAAATTTCACCTCACAGCGATTGTTAAACATTGTTAAAACGAAGTTGCATGGCTTCTGAAAGTGTACAGATAATCAACACTTTGCAAAATTGCTTTTACCGGTTTTTTCTGCCGAAAAAAAACACGTCAGATTCGCGTTGGAATTGTGCTCCATAGGTTGTTAACGCTTTACCGACCGGTAGCGGTTGATTAATCGGCTATCGGTCGGTAAGCGTTGGTCGGTAAAAAAGTTGATTAACACTTTACCGACAAGGTAGCCTATTAATCGACTTTTTACCGGCCGATAGCCGATAAATCAGTTTTTTACCGCTCAACGCTTTACCGACCGGGTAGCTTATTAATCGGTTGTCATGAAAATAAAAAATATCACTAGATTTAATTACCCTGTAATTACAGAAAGAGAACAATATAGTAACCACTGTCGCAAAGTTTCATTTAACATTCTTATAAGAAAAAGTGGATATATAATCTAGGGTCAATCGGTGCCGGTCGGTAAAGTGTTAATACGCTATCGGTCGGTAAGCGTTGGTCGGTAAAACAGTCGATTAATAGGCTATCGGTCGGTAAAGTGTTAAAATCATTTTACCGTTCGAATTGCAACGCTGTGATTAAAGTCGAGGATCTCTGTAATTTAATTTTTTTTTGTTAAAAACTGCAAACGTCCAATAAATTTCGAATTGGAATATTCGCGATCGAGGATGTAAACTACACAGTTCACTGCTTCAATGTCAGTCTAACGAACCGTTCCTGCAATCGACTGATAACGATTGGAAACTGGATTCTATATCACTCACACGCTGCAATGGTTACGTAACTAGGAAATAATTAACGCGGGAAAAGTGTGTGGATCGTTTGGGGCCTTTGGATCAGTAAATCTGTATTATGAAACGTTAAAAAGTTAATTATTTGTGTCAAATATTGTTGTTGCATTCAATTAACTCGATGTTAAATACTCAGAAATGGAATGAAAATACATTGCATTGAAGTGTATAATAATTTATAAAAATATTGAAATTAGAATTGAATAGGTAGTTTTATATCGAGGTTGCATAATTTATTTTTGGTGAAATTTGGGTTTTGTTTTGTTCGAAATTAAATTCTGTTTTTTACAGATACTCGTTGATATGTATTGAATGAATTTAATATGTATTTCTATATTTTATATGTATTTTTTTTATATGTATTTTTTTTTGTATTTATTTCGAATATTCAAGTCGATTTATTTCAATTTTTACATATATTATGGTACTCCAAAATCTAAACACGTGTTCCTCGAAATTGGTGATAATTTGATTTTTTGTAAAACAAAGTTTGAAAAGTGTAACGAGAATAATACTGAATTCTGTTGAATTTTAATGTGTGTCACCTAGAATCTACGTTTCTTCGATAATTTCACCGAAAACCCACTTACGTATCGACTTTCGAACCATCCACGCCTACGTTACCAACCTTCAAGCTCGAAATTTTCAAAATAAAATCAATAAAAATAAAATAAATAAAATAAAAAAAAATTCAAGCTCGAAATTTTCAAGATAATATAAATAAAAATAAAAAAAAATTCAAGCTCGAAATTTTCAAGATAAAATAAATAAAAATAAAATAAATAGAATAAAAAAAAATTCAAGCTCGAAATTTGCAAGATAAAATAAATAAAATAAAAAGAAATTCAAGCCCGAAATTTTCAAGATAAAATAAATAAAAATAAAATAAATAGAATAAAAAAAAATTCAAGCTCGAAATTTTCAAGATAAAATAAATAAAATAAAAGAAAATTCAAGCTCAAAATTTGCAAGATAAAATAAATAAAATAAAAAGAAATTCAAGCCCGAAATTTTCAAGATAAAATAAATAAAAATAAAATAAATAGAATAAAAAAAAATTCAAGCTCGAAATTTTCAAGATAAAATAAATAAAATAAAAGAAAATTCAAGCTCGAAATTTTCAAGATAAAATAAATAAAAATAAAAAAAAATTCATTATTTTCTCTAATTCTAATTATCACCAAAATAAAAAAATTCTACTTCAATTTTAAGAGTATCAAATCATATAACAAATAAAATCGTAGTTACGAACCTTCAAGCTCGAAGTTTTAATTATAATTAACAATTAAAAAACACACTCTATCGAGGAAAATATTTCCCTTCGATGTAGCTTTTATTTATTTTATAATATTTTCTCTAGAATTCGAGGCACATTTCTATAAAAATTTCATTAACTTCAGACACGTATTAAAATAAAAAAAAAATTCATTATTTTCTCTAATAATTCTTTCAAATTAATTTAAATTCATTATTTTCTCTAATTCTAATTATCACCAAAATAAAAAAATTCTACTTTAATTTTAGGAGTATCAAATCATATAACAAATAAAATAGTAGCTTTTATTTATTGTATAATATTTTCTCTATCATTCGAGACACATTTCTATACAAATTAAATTCCTTCCAGACACACATTAAAATAAAAAAAAATTCATTATTTTCTCTAGCCAAATTATCACGAAAATAAAAAAATTCTACTGCAATTTTAAGAGTATCAAATCATATAACAAATAAAATAGTAGCTTTTATTTATTGTATAATATTTTCTCTATCATTCGAGACACATTTCTATACAAATTAAATTCCTTCCATACACACATTAAAATAAAAAAAAATTCATTATTTTCTCCAGCCAAATTATCACGAAAATAAAAAAATTCTACTTCAATTTTAGGAGTATCACAGCATATAACAAATAAAATCGTAGCTTTTATTTATTTTGTTTATTAAATTCCTTCCAGACGCACATTAAAATAAAAAAAAATTCATTATTTTCTCTAATTCTAATTATCACCAAAATAAAAAAAATCTACTTAAATTTGAAGAGTATCATAACATATAAAAAATGAAATTGTGGGTATTGGACTCGATTTTGACACTTAACGTTGTTTCAGGGGTACTCACCTGGAGGACGAGTAGCACGATGACGCTCATAACTCGCGTTTGACGTTAGTTTCGGCGTGTTGGACCGAGCCGTGGGCCCAATCGCGTATCGTTTTCACCGACAGGGTGATCGCTACCGTAAAAAGTGCGACGACAGGCCCGTGCACACGCGGCTACATGACAGCACCTCCACGCGCGAGGACGCTTTCATTACTGGGCTGGTAATCAGCCGGGCGGCACATGCGACGCAGAGGCGGTTCGCGCTGGTAAAAGTACATAGAGTCCTCCGCGAGCGTTCGACGATCGCTTGACCGAGCACCAAGAGCGAGAGAGAGGAGCGACGAGGGAGGAAAGGCGAGGAGAGAGCACCGTCGCCCGGTGAGTAGGTCACTGTTGCGGATACCGTTACATTTGGGCCCACTGATGTGTGTCACGGGGCCCCCACAGTGACGTAGCAACGGGCCCTACGGGTTCTGCTCGCGCGACGGAGATTTTGATCCATGGTGGATCGCGACAGAGGTGGGCGAGATCGTACACGGTGAGGTGTATTAGCCTTTTTACTGTTGAAGAACTTTCAATTGTTATTAATCGATGTTTTTGTTGTTGCAGACTCGTGACGCTTGTTGGGGGACGTCTTGAATGTTTTTGACATTTGTGGTCCAGGAATCGAGAATATGTTGGTGGATTTTTAGATCAGAATAGTTATTAGACTGCGGATTTTTATGCAAATTCATATATTTATTAATAGAATTGATAAAATAAGAGCTTCGTAGACCCCTAAATACAGTAATTTTTATCTTACTTGAGATTTTGTTATATTTTTGCATGTTAAATGCATTCTATAGTTTGTTGACAATCTAAATTTTTCCATAAATGCATAAATATCCGCAGTTTAGTTATTATTCATTTTTAGTGGGATGCAAAAGTAGCATTTGTACTTATATTTTTCGCTTTTAAGGAAGCTCTGTTGGAATTTCATATTTTTGGTTTGAATAGTTATTTATTATTCACTTTCAGTGTTATGCAAAAGTAACATTCAAATTTACAAGCCATCATCCCGTCGTTTATAGTTCAATTCTATATAGTTTTTATTTTTTGCATTTAAAGAATCGTGACTCTAATGGTATTTAATATATTTGTTCAGAATAATTATTTATTATTCACTTTCAATGTGATGCTAGATTAAATGAATGATATAACATTCAAATTTGTAAGCCATCATGCATTCAATTCTATATAGTTCTCATTTTTCGCATTTAAGGAAGCTCTGTTGGAATTTAATATTTTTATTTGGAATAATTATTAATTATTCACTTGCAGTGTGATGCAAAAGTAACATTCAAATTTATCAAGCCATCGTGCATTCAATTCTATATAATTTTCATTTTTCGCATTTAACGAATCATGTCTTTATTGGAATTTAATATTTTTATTCAATATAATTTTTAATAATTCATTTTTAGTGTGTTGCAAAATGAAATGAATGATATAACATTCAAATTTATAACCCATCGTGCATTCAATTCTATATAGTTCTCATTTTTCGCATTTAAGGAAGCTCTCTTGAAATTTAATATTTTTATCCAATATAAATTTTAAAAAGCATTTGTTTTGTGTATATGAAAGTAATAAGTAACAAATAAATGAGCAAATTAGGGAATTATTAAACACATTATTATATTTACATATTAAATTATTTTTTTGGCAAAAATATACACAACTTTCTCTATTAAAATTTCTCACAAAAGTTTATTGATATTCATAAAGTATATACACATTTTTCGAAAGTAAAATACTAATTTTGCACGTTTCAGATCACATTTAGAAAATTCGTTCATATTTTGTATAGTTTTCTATGTTCAATAGAAGTAAAAAAACGCGCACTATTCTAATTAATCATTCCTTAAAACTAGGAACAAATAATAATAATAATAATGTCTGACTATTCTTGACAGACTTTTCTATAAACTTACAATTAGTTAATAATACAATTTTTAAAAAAAATTTTATCAAAATATATCTTAGAAAGACAATTTATCAAAAATATGTTACTAATATTTGATAACCTATAACTTAATTAATATTTCCACGGTTTCAATCTCTTTTAATCTTTTTTCTCAGGTAGAAACTTTTGTCAATTATTTAAGCATTTGAGTCAATCGTTTCCTCTCGTTTTTCTGTGTCTTTTTTTTCTGTTTTTTCGCTAGATTTTCCAGTGTCTTTATTGTACCTTAAAAATCCACTCACGTACCACATGAAAATACAAGAAAGACTTAAAATCGAAGTGAAATGAAGAGCAGCTACGTAACTGTTCATCGAATCGTGCACTAATCCTTGAATATAAAAAGAGACAGAAAATAATTAGCAAACAATTCATTAGAGCGATCTATATATATTATTCGAGTGATTTAGAAAAATTGAAGATTAAGTAATTTTGTGAAATAAAATCCATCTCTTAAAATTCCATATTTCTTATTTTTTTTAAATATGGAATTTTAAGAGACAGATTTAAGGTAAAAATATGTTCAAAATAATTAGATTAAACTCACCTATGATTGGACCAATGGCGATCGACAGTACACCACTGCAGGCCATTTGCATTCCAAATGCAGCTGGCAGTTTGTTCAGAGGAACGTAATCAGAGATTATCAGAGTCTGAAAAACAGCTTTTGTGCCTTTTGCAACGCCAATAATCAGTGCAACGCAGACAACACTAACGTAACTGCTTCCCCAGGTTGTCAAAACTGAAATCCAAAAAAAAAAAAAATTTTACTCGATTTTACTTGATTTTAGTGGATTTAAATAATGTGATTTCATCCCCCAACACCAGAGCTACCAAAGCACTCAAAATTGCTCATTTCTAATTTCCAATAGCAATGAATAAACATTTATTTTCATTGCATTATGCATTGTCGATGATTCTAGCGTTGAAAGTGAATTTTTTAGTGTTTTCAAATCCCCAAATTTTGAGTCAGGTTTTTGTGTTAGTGTACGTACTGGTTCTTCCAAGAGTGGATCCTATTAAGGAGACAACGTAAAGATTTTTTGATGTCCATTCGGCTTTTTGGGCCACGAGTGGCACGCATAATCGTCCAAAAATGTCCGAAGCGGCTTGGATCGACATCACAGTCGCGATCGAAGTCCTTTCGAGGCCACAGAGTTCCGCGAGGACGAACGGAATCATGGCGTTGAAGTTCGTTTCTGCTACTAAAGACACCCCCATACCTGAAATATTAATAAAAATATTAATAAAATTCGATGACATGTAGCTCCTTCAATTTTCGTTATTTACACTTGGAAAAAATACTGTATATACTTGAAACGTTGGTAAATTTATATACAAAATTTCAATGCAAAGCAATTTGTAAATAATTTTATAAAATTAAAGAAAATTACAAATTTAGTAGAAAATAATACACTTCTAAGGTGGTCTTCCAGTGTGAAGCTTTGAAAAAATTGATTTTCTTAAAGAATATAGTTTGGAAAATTTATTTACGTATCCTTGTGTCTAAATTTCTGAAATTAACGAAGTTATGGCTGTTAAAAACGCGATGGTCAACGTAATTGTAAATGTGTTTTTCCCTAAACTGTGTTTTCCAAAATATTGTCCACGATAAAACAAAATCTACTTGACCAATTGGCTTAAAATTTTGGGTACACATTCAATACATGTGTGACTATAGTTGCTACCAAAATCAACTCAAAATTTTTATTTTTTCTATTTTTTTCAGGCCCCTGAAGTTAAAAGAAAACATGGAAAAATCGTTAATTTAAATTCGAAGTGTTGTTATTTTTTAAACAATTGATTTTTTTCTTTTATTTTGGTATGGGCTATGGTCGAACTTATAGTAATTAAGAATCCTTTAGGTTTTTTCATTTTAAACAATTGGAATGGTCAGAATTATGGAGAACGTGAGATGATGTTTTTTAAGTTTGAGTATGTTTGACTCTGCTTGACTCTGATTGATTTTGATTGATTTTGATTGATTCTGATTGACTCTGGCTGACTTTGATTGATTTTGATTGATTTTGATTGACTCTGACTGACTTTGATTGATTTTGATTGATTTTGATTGACTCTGACTGATTTTGATTGATTTTGATTGATTTTGATTGATTTTGATTGACTCTGCTTGACTCTGACTGACTCTGATTGATTTTGACTGACTCTGATTGATTTTGACTGACTCTGATTGACTCATGATTGACTCATGATTGACTCTGATTGACTCTGATTGACTCTGCTTGACTCTGCTTGGCTCTGCTTGACTTTGCTTGACTATGTTTGACAGTCTACAGTGCCACCAATTTTAACTTTTTCTCGCTCAAAAAATTCTAAAATATCACTAAAGTAAGCACAAATAAACCCTGTAAATTTGACTGCAGAAGCTCTTATAGTTTAATCACAAAAAATTCCTCAAGAATGCCTAAAAAACTGCATTTCATTCTAATGCACTTTTAAAACAGATATGCTTGACTATGTTTGAATATATGCAGCGCCATCCATTTTAACTTTTTCTCGCCAAAAAAATTCTAAAATATAACTAAAGTATCTATAAATAAATCCTGTAAATTTGACTGCAGAAGCTCTCATAGTTTATTCACAAAAAATTCTCAAAGAAAGTCTAGAACAATGCACTTTGTACAAGTGCATTTTAAAAGCGACTATGTTTGGGAGCATGCAGTGCCATCAGTTTTATATTTTTCTCGCTCAAAAAATTCTAAAATATAACTGAAATATGCACAAATAAACCCTGTAAATTTGACTGCAAAAGCTCTTATAGTTTAATCACAAAAAATTCCTCAAGATAGCCTAAAAAACTGCATTTCATTCTAATGCATTTTAAATATGGCTACGTTTGAATATATGCAGTTCCATCAATTTTAGCTTTTCGTCGCCAAAAAAATTCTAAAATATAACTGAAATATGCACAAATAACTCCTATTAATTTGACTGCAAAAGGTCTCATAGTTTATTCAAAAAAAATTCCCCAAAAAAGTCTCTAAAAAGCACACTTCACCTCAGAGGACCCTCTTATTAATAAAAATTGATAAAAAATTTGATAAAATTACCTAATATAACTGCTACGTAACGGGTGTCCCTGAAAAGATCGAGATCCAAGTGCTCCGAAATTTTCAACAGGAACTTTCGTTTCTCTCCTTTTTTATCGTTGTTTATAGTTTCTCGAGCCACGTCTTCGTTCAATAATCGAGAATTAACGTCTCCCGAATGTTTTTCTGCGGAAGATTCCGTGATGTCATTGCCCTTCGTTAAACTTGCAATCTATTTGGAATCAAATCTGACGGTGAACGTTAATCGTTTCCTTTTTCAGTGATTTTAAGAAGACACCGAACTATAACGATAAAAAAAAAAACTTTATTCGAAGCTTTCGATCTGTTTATTAAGAATTACCTTATTTTCGATAGCACCACGAATTCTCACCTTGAATTTCAGTGTCTTCTTAACAATGACGGGTGTGTTTTAGGTTCATTGTGTGTCTAACTCACTTCTTTTTCTTTGAATGGCCTCAACAACGACGCTCCTATCAGCGAATGCATCGCGATTCCAGCGAGAATCAAAAGCGTACCAGTGGTGGCGTAACTTTCTAGCAGTTTTGCTATTAAAAAAGGCATCAAAATCGGACCTAAGCCTGTTAGTGTCACCGACAATCCCATGGCTACGTTGCGTTTCTTACGAAAATACGTGTTTAGGGCTAGATTTATTGCTAGAAACGTGATCCCGTGACCGGTACCTGAAAACCATCGCCAAATTAGAATGATTTTCTATTTAACACTTTACCGACCGGTAGCGGATTATCGGTCGGTAAGCGTTGGTCGGTAAAACAGTTGATTAATAGGCTATCGGTCGGTAAGCGTTAGCCGGTAAAACAGTCGATTAATAGGCTATCGGTCGGTAAAGTGTTAATAGCTTCAAATATTTCATTCATCGTCGCAAAATGTAAATAGAAATATTTATTAGAGTCGAAATAATAGAAAAATAATTTATTTTTAACAATAGAACTATCAAAGTGGTCAAAATTATAATTATAATTGTCGTTATATTTACTGTATTTTTCTTTGCCTTTTGCAGGCTTTTGTTATTTATCGTAAAATTGTTCCTTGAAATTCGTAATTTTATAATAAAAATTACACGAAATTTAGTCGACTAAATTTATGAAAATTGACCGTAGTTTTTTTTTAAATTGTTTCTTTGGTACAGAAAATAAATACATCATAATAATTAGTAGTTATTAAATCTAAAATATCTCAAATTTGTTCCTTGTTTAAATAGATATTTTTATTATGAATTTTTGAAAATTTATCGTAGTTTTTTTTATGGAAATTATTTTATTTATTTATTATATTATATGTTATATATTTATTATATGTTTGAATAAATATTTTTATTATGAAATAGAACAAGCTTTGGCCAAAATGCAATTCGTAATTTCTAAACAAAAAATTGTATACAAAATTTAGTCGACTAAATTTATGAAAATTGGCCGTAGTTTTTTTTTAAGGAACTTATTTCTGTTGATACAAAAATAAATACATTTTTATTATGAAACAGAACAAGCTACGACCAAAATGAAATTCATAATTTCTAATTATTAATAACACAAAATTTAGTCGACTAAATTTATGAAAATTGACCGTAGTTTTTTTTTTTAAATTGTTTCTTTTGATACAAAAATAAATACATTTTTATTATGAAACAGAACAAGCTGCGACCAAAATGAAATTCGTAATTTCTAATAAAAATTCTACAAAATTTAGTCGACTAAATTTACAAAAATTGACCGTAGTTTTTTTTTAAAAAATTATTTCTTTGGTACAAAAATAAATACATGATAATTGTTGATAGTTCTAGAGTTAAAAGGACGTGGAAATGAATGTGTATTTATTATATTTTTCGTACTTATATGCATAAATGTATTTTCCATATCTTAAGGGGTAACTCTAGAATATTGAAAAATTCGATTTTTTTTTTTTCGGCTTAAATAATAGTTTGAAGCCTTAAAAACATTATGCGAAAGGTCTCAGTGTCGGAGCAATGTTTTTGCTGAAAATTTAGAGCCCCAAACGATGACGTGTATCTGCGTCCTGTAGCGTCGTGTAAGTGTTGTATGTTATTTGTTTATTTGAAAGTTTAAACAGTAGAAATTCTGTGATGAGGAATATAAGAACAATGAGAGATGCAAATTACTCACCGACGATGATGCAATAAGTGACAATAATGGCGGGAACAGCGACTGCGAACGCGGTCATGCAGATGCCAACGGCGACGGTTAAACCGCCGAGGAAGGCGACCTTTCGAAACGTGAATCTCTTCATCATCGGGCCGCTTATCAGACCCAGGCTACACGCGATTGTCCCATTCAGATGAAGAATGAATGATGTTTGCGTGGCGGAGATACCGAGCGAAAGAAAACGCTCCGAAAAGATAAGACCGTAACATTGTTGTATCGGAAGCACCGCCAACTGAAACGATTTTATTCAGAAGAAGTCATTCGAGACAGTATCTTCAATTAAAATTCATTAAAACTTCTGATTTTCGAGAGATTATTTATTAAAGATTCAAATTAACATAACATCAGGTTCGATATGTATTTTTGTAGAATTAATATGTTTTAAGTATAGTGAGTAGAATGGATGTTTATGCATTTGAGGGAAATTTTTCGTTTTTAAAAGATAGGATGCATTTGAAATGCAAAAATATGAGTATTTTAAGGGGGACTTCTAGTGTAAATGGGGTTTTTTTAGAGTTTTTTGGGGAATTTTTTGCGAGTAAACTATGAGAGATTTTACAGTTGAATTTAGAGGGTTTATTTATGGATACTTTAGTTATATTTTAGAATTTTTTTGGCGAGAAAGAGGTAAAATTGATGGCTCTGTATATTCTCAAACATAGTCAATTTTAAAATGCATATCATACTAGTGTATTTTAGAGTTTTTTGAGGAATTTTTTGTGAGTAAACTATGAGAGCTTTTGTAGTCAAATTTATAGGGTTTATTTAGCTATACATCATTGATATTTCAGAATTTTTTAGACCCAAAAAACTTAAAATTGATGACACTGTATATTCTCAAACATAGTCAATTTTAAAATGCATTTCATACTAGTGTATTTTAGACTTTATTGGGGAATTTTTTGTGGATAAACTATGAGACCTTTTGCAGACAAATTTATAGGGTTTATTTAGATATACTTCAACGATATTTCAGAATTTTTTGGGCGCAAGAAAGTTAAAATTGATGAGACTGTATATTCTGAAACATACTAGTGCATTTCATATTATTACATTTTTGTAGACTTTCTTGAGGAATTTTTTGTGAATAAACTACAAGACCTTTTGCAATCAAATTTACAGAGTCTATTCATAAGTACTTCAGTTATATTTCAGAATTTTTTTGGCGAGAAAAAGTTAAAATTGATGCCACTGCATATATTCAAACATAGTCAAGCATATCTGCTTTAAAAGTGCATTAGAATGAAATGCAGTTTTTTAGGCTTTCTTGAGGAATTTTTTGTGATTAAACTATAAGAGTTTTTGCAATCAAATTTACAGGGTTTATTTGTGCATATTTCAGATATATTTTAGAATTTTTTGAGCTGGAAAAATATAAAACTGATGGCACTGCATGCTCTCAAACATAGTCACTTTTAAAATGCACTAGTACAAAATGCATTATTCTAGACTTTCTTTGAGAATTTTTTGGGAATAAACTATAAGAGCTTCTGCAGTCAAATTTACAGGGTTTATTTACAGATACTTTAGTTATATTTTAGAATTTTTTTGACGAGAAAAAGTTAAAATTGATGGCACTGCATATATTCAAACATAGTCATGCATATCTGCTTTAAAAGTGCATTAGAATGAAATGCAGTTTTTTAGGCTTGCTTGAGGAATTTTTTGTGATTAAACTATAAGAGCTTTTGCAATCAAATTTACAGGGTTTATTTGTGCATATTTCAGATATATTTTAGAATTTTTTGAGCTGGAAAAATATAAAACTGATGGCACTGCATGCTCTCAAACATAGTCACTTTTATAATGCACTAGTACAAAGTGCATTATTCTAGATTTTCTTTCAGATTTTTTTTGTGAATAAACTATAAGAGCTTTTGCAATCAAATTTGCAGGGTTTATTTATAGATACTTTAGTTATATTTTAGAATTTTTTAAGCGAGAAAAAGTCAAAATTGATGTCTCTGCATGACCCCAAACATAGTCAAATATAGTTGCATTTAAAAAAGGTCTCACACTGTAATTTCATTCTATTTATTTGAAATAAAAAAACCTAAAATATTCTTCATTACTACAACTTTGACTATAACTGGTAGAACAAAAAAAGGGGACCCTGAAATTTGATTATAAATTTTATCATGTTTTTTTTTTTCATTTTTTTGGGTCTAAATGAAATAGAAATTTTTGATTGATGAAAATACAAAATAAAAATCGATTTATCTCAAAGATTCACACTAGAATTCTCCCTTATACGAATTTTTATATTTACAAAGCTCCCATTTCATTGATTCAACTAAACACAACTAAAGTAAAAAAAAAGAAAAAAAGAAAACTATTTCGTAAAATCAGTGTTTCGAATGACAAAAAACGAGTGATTTTTCAACATTCATACAACTAAAATACAAAACAAAAAAAAAAAGAGAAAATTATTTCGCAAAATCACTGTTTCGAATGACAAAAAACGAGTGATTTTTCAATTTTCTCTACAATTCGATTCTCTACATTCAACATTCATACAACTAAAATACCAAACAAAAAAAAGAGAAAACTATTTCGTGAAATCACTGTTTCGAATGCCAAATGACAAAAAACGAGTGATTTCTAAACATTTTTAACAATTGACACCACAAAAAGTGAACACGTGCGTATCAAGCACACACAAAAACACACACTAGGTCGTTCGATGTTGGTGGGGGAAAGAAAATCCAAGAAAATCCAAGAAAATCCAGGAAACTCACGTTAATGATGGTCACAGCAGCGACGACAACCCAGGCCCAGCCTCTGTCGGCCTCGTCGCGTGACATTCTCCCAAAAAAGGCAACAAAATTCCCAAAGTCTCTTTCGAAACGAGACCACCCGTGTCACTCCTTCCTCTCGTCTCGAACTGCAAACTTAGAGTGTCGGCTAAATACAAGACGGAATTGGACAAATGATAAGATAGGTGTTTAGTATCGGTGGATCAGTATTAGATACACACACACAAACGAGCGTGAAATGTTTCTGATTACTCTCAAATGTTAGCGTGGAAATCGAAAATTTCAGTCAACCATTCACTTTCTTCTGAATCATAAATTCATTTATTTCAAAATTCAAATTTATGGTAAAATAAATATCAAATTTTTTCAACTTTTCTCGTTTGGACGAAATGACGAACTCGATAAGATTAAACACCGAAATTTTTATCAAGAGTTCGGTGTCCATTAATTATAAAATTAGCCACGTTTTATTGCAACGAACACGATTGATTACATATATCGACGAGCTGATATTTTTTGTTATTCTTTTCTTTATCTTTTGCAGTTTAAGTCTCCAGGCTTTAGAGCTCTCAACAGTGCTCTTTTTTCCCCCATTTTTGTAACACGGTTTTGTATAATAATTTAAGATCGAACGGAGATATCAGAATTGACATTTTTGTGAGTTTGTAGAATTCTAGAAGTGTACACTTCTCTTCAAACGAGTATTCGAGTGTATTACACAGAGTCAAAAGTCAAAGTTCTCCGGGCCAGATGATTAAATTAATCACACATAACCGTGTTCCAATTAGAAGGAACAACCGATTCTTTTCCATTTAGTCCGCTTTGAACGATAATTTAATAATGGTTTAATGTCACTGTGACTGTGGCTAACATTTGATATACAGCGGGGAACGACGATTACTATAACATCTGCCTCGATCTTTACGAGTTTAATTGAATTGGGCACAGTCGCAGGGACGTACCTAAAATAAAATTCTTGCTCACTTAAACTCACGAAAAAATATTGGAATAATAATTTCAAACTGTAAAGTTGAACTTTGTTTTCTCAATTTTTTATACAAAAAAAGAACAAATTGGCCTCTGAGAGTCAACTTTCGAACACTCGTTTACCTCGAATATTAACTGTGGCGTTGCCTTGAAATTTATAATAATTTTACCTTCGAATTTTGCAAGCAAGTGATGTTTTTTAATTTGACGAAATTTGGAGTGAAAGTTTCATCAATTTTGTCAAATATTCAACTCAACTAACAATTTTATTTATTCGCTGGTGAACACTTGTATGCACATGAATTTGCATATCATAATAACAACTGTTATTCAAGGAGATCTCATTATTTTAATCGAGAAAATTAGGTGGAATAAAATCTGAATTCAGAGAAAAAAATTTCCCCCATTTTGTTAATATTTTTAGAAAATTTCCGAAATTACAAGCATTTTTCTTATAAAATATTCTACGATTATTAAAAGTCAAATTCTACTAGATTAGAGAGCCCACAATAAAATGTGAATATTCTCCATTAAAATTAATATTTTTCCAATGAAACGTTAATCCAGAGAAATACGTACGAGATTTTTGGTTGATCGAACGTGATTTTTCCGTTGTCGTGGCACTGATTATTTCAGTAAAGGCGACGTAGAAGGATGGACGATGCATTATTGTTAGAATTAGGTTCGTTGTCACCGTTGAAATATGGTTAGGGAGACACAGTGAGAAATGTCACTTGAACTCACTCGAAAACACTGTATTTTTCTATCAGACACATCGTCGAACTTTTCACCGGTGCTTTTTACGCCGCGTCTGAGACGGAACGCAAAAAGGAGCAACATATGTGTGTGTTGTGAGCGGAGCTGCTGACTATTCGTCACTGGCTCGATGAAGGGAAGTCGCTTGATAAAAACCTGCTTCGTGACTCGACTTCAGACCCGAGGCTGGTCTTTGACTTGCTTCGGCTTCGTTTACATGCACCGGCGAGACCGCCTCGATGCGACCCGTTTAACACGTTCAACGAATTCGGGGCAATTTTACGCAAAAAGGGCCATATTTTGTTCTTGATACAGTAAAACTCCATTTACATAACGTTAATAAACAGTTTGTTTCATAAAAAGTTCATCAATCTTCGCTATTTTTAATATTTGAGTTTTTGTTCGGATAAGTGAATTCAATCGTGACAGTAATCCGGGTTTTCAAATTAAAATTTTTGTAAATCAAGGTTATTTAATTTTGTCAAACTTCTATTTTTGGTGGATTATACAAAATATAAAAGTTTGAACTAGCTTTTAGTTATTTAGAATTATTTAGGAAAATTGAATTAAAATAGAAATTTTCTTCAAAACTCCATTTACATGACGTCAATAAACAGTTCGTGTCATAAAAGTTCATCAATCTTCGCTATTTTTAATTTTTCGTTCGTATTTAAACTCTGTTCGGATAAGTGTATTCAATTGTGACAGTTATCCGGGTTTGAGACTAAATTTTCATGAATCAAGGTTATTTAATTTTGTCAAACTTCCATATTTGGTGGATAAAACAAAATATAAAAGTTTGAATTAGTTTTGAGTTATTTAGTATAATTTTAGAAAATTGAAATTTTCTATGAAACGTCATTTTGTTTGTGATATAGCAAAACTCCATTTACATGACGTTAATAAACAGTTCGTTTGATAAAAGTTCATCAATCTTCGCTATTTTTAATTTTTCGTTCGTATTTAAACTATGTTCGGATAAGTGAATTCAATTGTGACAGTAATCCGGGTTTCAAACTACACTTTTTTTGTGAATCAAGGATATTTAATTTTGTCAAACTTCTATTTTTGGTGGATTACACAAAATATAAAAGTTTGAGCTAGCTTTTAGTTATTTAGAATTATTTAGGAAAATTAAAATTAAAATAGAAATTTTCTACAAAACGTGATATAGCAAAACTCCATTTATATGACTCTAATAAACAGTTCGAATCATAAAAGTTCATCAATTCCTGCTATTTTTAATTTTTTGATCGTATTAAGTCTCTGTTCGGATAAGTGAATTCAATTGTGACAGTTATCCGGGTTTCAAACTAAAATTTTTGTAAATCAAGGTTATTTAATTTTGACAAACTTTTATATTTGATGGATAATACAAAATATAAAAGTTTGTACTAGTTTTTAGTTATTTCGAATTATTTAGAAAAAATAGAAATTTTCTATAAAACGTCATTTTATTTGTGATACAGTAAAACTCCATTTACATGAATCTAATAAGTAGTTTATTTAATAAAAGTTCATCAATTCCTGCTATTTTTAATTTTTCGTTCGTATTTAGTCTCTGTTCGGATAAATGAATTCAATTGTGACAGTAATCCGGGTTTCAAACTAAACTTTTTTTGTGAATCAAGGTTATTTAATATTGTCAAATTTTATATTTGATGGATAAAACAAAATATAAGTGTTGGAACTAGTTTTTAATTATTTAAGAAAATTGGACAAAATAGAAACTTTCTACAAAACGTCATTTTGTTTGTAATATAGCCAAACTCCATTTATATGACGTTAATAAACAGTTCGTTTCATAAAAGTTCATCAATCTTCGCTATTTTTAAGTTTTCGTTCGTATTTAGTCTCTGTTCGGTTAAGTGAAATCAATTGTGACAGTAATCCGGGTTTGAGACTAAACTTTCATAAATCAAGGTTATTTGATTTTGTTCCTTATAAATTCCTTAAAACTTTGAAATTACATTTGATGCATTAAATTTCTGAAAAAATATCAGATATTTGAAAGTAAAATATTCATAAAAAAGTTGAATTAATTTTTACTTAATTTCTGAGCATATATCAGACATTTTAAAGTAAAATATTCATAAAAATGTGAATTAATCTTGACTTATTTAGTATTATTTAAGAAAACAGGATAGAAATATTTAAATAAGGGACTCATGATTTTTATGCAATTATTTTATTCCACTTTTATGGTAAAAACAAAATTATAGGAAACAAAAAAAATAATTTATATAAAACACAGCGTCAAAATGTGATGCGTTATTAATATATTGACTTCAGTTACAAGTATCAACAACACGAGACATTACATAATCTCATAAACTTCTTATTTACTTGCTTATAGTATACTTCTGTCACTTGTTTAATATTCTCATATTCGAATCTTAATATTAATAAATATATTACGTGATACATGACTATATGTCTAAACACAAGATATCATAAAAAAAACAATTTAAAAACCCAGTGTTTCTAAATATAACATTACAATTTAATTTTAGAATTATTTATATCAGAAAATGAATTTCAATTTTCAAGCTTTTAATTACGAAACAATTCACAAGGTCCATTAATTAATCAAATTACTATCAACGATGAATGAAGAGAATGATGACTAAATTTGAACGCAAATCGTCATCGATAAAGGAAAATATTATTTGTCGTTTACAAATAAATAATGTTTCTCGACTCGATACGTGAAAACCAGATCTTCGTGTAGCTTCTCCGCGATATCTGAACAACGTTATCACTCTATTACTTCGTTCCGTGCTTGCTTAGCCGAGATAGCCCTCCTTCTAAGCAAACTGTACACAAATTCGATGCTCCATGTGACAAAAGTGACGCTTATCATGAACGTCATCACGTGTACACAAACGGTATAACTTTGGCTGGCGTCTCTGATATACCCTGATAAAGAGAAAAATGATAGTTAATTTTAATCCAAAGAAATATGCCCAAAGCATTCACTGTCCGTGACTCATATGTGGGCTCCATCACCGTGCCATTAGATACGCCGCGGTGAAATCGGACAGTGAACGCGTCCGCGTCGAAAAATTGAACTTCAAACCCACCGATCAGGGGACTCAGGGTCACGACAAACAATCCCTTGGACACCATGAATATCCCAAAGGCGCTGGGAAGCTTTTTCAAGGAACAACATTCGGACACGCTGAGATTCAAGTTGACCAACGTGGCGCCACGCAGGAATCCTATCACGACGAAAGTCACTATCAAAAACACGCCTTTCGATTGCTCAGCCATAACTGGAAAAAGACGAGAATTAGGAAACTTGTTGGTCGATTGTTTACTGAGTGAGAGTGAATGTACTGACTGGATCGTCCAATTCCAACGAGAAGGCAGAATATCCAGAAGATGGACCTCTTCTTGAAACCGAATCTGTCGAAGATGGTTGGGAGTAGTAGGCGGGCAAGAATGTCGGTGAATGCGGTTATTGACAAACAAGAGGCAACTTCCACGTTGGACAATCCTATCGACGGTCAAGTTCCTTCGAGGTGTCTACCGAAATCCTAAACGATGCTGCACAGTGGAACGGAACCCGAAAAAAACGCGATAAACCATTTGGCTGATCGATGGCGGATCTATCTTTGCGTAGTTCCCTTTTTTTTTTTTAGACATGAAGTTAAGCTATTGGAGAATTGTACACTTAACACTTTACCGACCGGTAGCGGTTGATTAATCGGCTATCGGTCGGTAAGCGATGATCGGTAAAACAGTTGATTAGTAGGCTATCGGTCGGTAAGCGTCGGCCGATAAAACAGTCGATTAATAGGCTATCGGTCGGTAAGCGTTGGCCGGTAAAACAGTCGATTAATATCGGTCGGTAAAGTGTTAATAGTTAAAAAGAAACTGCACAAAAATATACCACGAAATTTGTTAAATTATTGTAGTAAAATAGTGTTTGTAAGACAATTATAGTATCGACTTTTTGTGACCATTTATCGCGCTTTTTCAGGTTTCGCCCCACTGTGTGCTGTAGCGAGGATGATAAATTGTAAAAATAGAGTTCTTCTTGCATTCATAGCTTCGTATGCAAAAGTATTGAATTTTTAAATCTGATATTTGGCGAGTGATTTGAGTATTTTTGAAAAATTTGTCATCCAATCGCTACAGTACCGATCTCGAAGCTCCCCAAAACTTACTTACCTATGCTAGACAGGAAAAATGGAGTCATCAGTTTGAAATTGGACTCAGCGACGTAGTACAGACTCAAACCAATGATAACGTTTAAGTAGACGCCATCTTTGAGGAGATCCAAGTCGAAAGTCTTTTTAATCTTCTCGATGAATGGCTCGTCTTTCTCTTTTTCTTCAGATTCGTCATCATCATCGTTTGTTGCATCGATTGTGGTGATTTTGGTGATTTTGGTGCTGTTTTTTGGATTTATTTCCGTTCCATTGTTGTTTGCGTGCAACAGAGTGCTACCTTCTGGGATCTTGTTCATCTCTGTAAGCTGAAATTAAGATTTCTCAACTGTTTCAGGCTTTTTTATTGATTTTACCTTTCTAATTTGTTTTTCTTTTTTGTTTTCCAGGGGTCGTAGTAAACAAGCACCGACGGTGGAGTGCAGGGCCCATGCACCAACGATCATGGTTGCTCCTCGAAACCCATAAGCAGCCAACAGGAGGTGTACGAACTGTAAAAGTTGAAATTTAGACAGAATTTTTGTAAAATAAATTTTCTGATTTTTTTTTGGTAATTCGTAGGTAAAAGGTGTGGGTTAGGTCTGGGTTAGGTCTGGCTTAGATTTGGGTTAGGTCTGGGTTAGGTCTGGCTTAGATCTGGGTTAGGTCTGGCTTAGATCTGGGTTAGGTCTGGGTTAGGTCTGGATTAGATTTGGCTTAGATCTGGGTTAGGTCTGGATTAGATTTGGCTCAGATCTGGGTTAGGTCTGGATTAGATTTGGCTTAGATCTGGGTTAGGTCTGGGTTAGGTCTGGCTTAGATCTGGGTTAGGTCTGGGTTAGGTCTGGATTAGATTTGGCTTAGATCTGGGTTAGGTCTGGATTAGATTTGGCTTAGATCTGGGTTAGGTCTGGGTTAGGTCTGGATTAGATTTGGCTTAGATCTAAGTTAGGTCTGGCTTAGATCTAGCTTAGATCTGGGTTAGGTCTGGTTTAGGTCTGGGTTAGGTCTGGGTTAGGTCTGGGTTTGAATAACCCTTAACGATTGATGCAACTTTAAACAAATAAATGAAAAAAAAAAAAAATATTCTGTTTTTTTTGATAATTCGTAGATGAAAGAAGTGGTACTCAAACGACGATATTATGACAAAATAATCAAGTCACATTCGCGTGACAGTGGCTGATAATGGTTGGATTAGCAAAAACGTTTGACTCAAAATTTCTAAAACAAATATTCTAATTTTTCTTATAATTCGTAGATGAAAGGTGTGGTACTCAAACGACGATATTACGAAGAAATAATGAACTCACGTGAACGTGACAGTGGCTGATAACGGTTGGATTAGCGAAAAAGTTTGAAATTTACTCAAAATTTCTAAAATAAATATTCTAATTTTTTTTATAATTCGTAGATGAAAGAAGTGATACTCAAACGACGATATCACGAGAAAATAATCAACTCACGTGAACGTGACAGTGGCTGATAACGGTTGGTCAAGCGAAAAAGTTTGAAATTTACTCAAAATTTCTAAAACAAATATTCTAATTTTATTGATAATTCGTAGATGAAAGCTGTGGTACTCAAACGACGATATTACAAGAAAATAATCAAATCACATTCGCGTGACAGTTGCTGATAATGGTTGGATCAGCTAAAAGTTTGAAATTTACTCAAAATTTCTAAAACAAATATTCTAATTTTTTTTTTTATAATTCGTAGATGTAAGGTGACTCAAACGACGATATTATAACAAAATAATCGAATAATACTTTTTAGGCTTTCGCGGCCATAGTGATTAATACTAGAATTGGCTTCCGGGTTGGAGCCGCGTTCAGAAGACGAGAGAGTCCGACGTTTCGCCAGCATTGCAGCTAGCTTCATCAGGGAATCAAATAATCTCTGATACTGAAGAAAGTATCAGCGGGGACCCTAACTTATACCTGTGTCCATCGTTGCGGATCAGTGCACTATCCAATAGTTTTTAATTGGGCAGCTGGCCCAATAATAATCGAGTCACATTCGCGTGACAGCGGCCTATAACGGTTGGTTTAACGAACTCACGCAGGCGTGACAGCGGCCGTCAAGGGGATAAAAATATAAATAATAACGTGTAAAAATTCTCTGCCATACTTGTGGAACCAGCATCATGGCTAGAGTTGTCCCAGCCATAGAAAAACCGACAGCTTGTCCCCGTTTTTTATCGAAGAACGTGTTCAACGCTACGAACGACGATGCGATCGCTAATCCGGTTCCTAAGCCTGCGATAAGGGAATTAAAAGTACATTAAACGCATGAGAAAGGTATTATGCTAAGTGGAGAGAGCAATTGAGAATGAAATTGTTTTGTTTTACCTCCTAAAATACTGTATGTGCAGATTATGTGGAACATGCTGTTGGCTCTGGATGTGAGTATCAGGCCTGTGCAACTTAGAAGAGACCCGAAGAAGGCTACTTGTCTGTAGGAGTATTTTTTTAGGAGGGGTCCTATCAAGAGACCTGAAATTGAAAGAAAATATTTGGGTAATGAGATCTAATTTATAATAATTTTAGTGAGTGTTTTAATTAGAAAAAATTGTATTTAAAATTTAGTAGTGGTTGGTAGATTTATTTGTACCAAAGAAATGTTTATTCATTCTCTTATAAAAAAAAAATTATGATTATTTTGAAAAATCAAGTAGAGTGAATTTTGTAGAAATTTTAGTAGAATTTTGGAATCATTTTGACTGCTTTGATAGTTCATTGGTCCTATTAAAAGACCTAAATTTAAAAAAAATATTATTTGAGTAAAAAGATCTAATAATTTCAGTAAACAGTGAAAAATTGTATTTAAAATTCCATTGAATTTAATGTGGCTCATTTTTATATTTATTAACACTGAAACTATCAACAATTAGAGTGTATTTACTAGTACTTAAAATTAATTTTAATTTTGAAAAATCCAGTCGAGTAAATTTTGCACTTTTATTAGAAATTTTGACAGTTTTAGAAATTCTAGCGTTAAATGAATAATTTCAATACCTGAAAAATTGACGATAGCGTCAAGAATGCTCATTATCAACGACGTTCCTGTGGAGTCGACGTCAAGTTCCTCCAAAGGATCGTGAAAGAGAAGACCGAACGAAGGATCCAGAGATCTCAAAGAAAGCTGTGGTAAAAAAAATAGAAAATTCAGAAAATTTCTATCTGAAAATTAAAAGTCAATCAGACGAAATTAATTTAAAAAAACAACAATTCTCACCGTAATTAGGCTACTAAGAAGTGATAATAAAAGAGAAGATCCATAAAACAAATGACAAATATTTAAGAAAAAATAGAAAATTCAGAAAATTATCTATTTGAAAATTATGTATCAATGAGACGAAATTAAAATTAAAAACATAAATTCTCACTGTGATTAGGCTACTAACTAAGAAGTAATAATAAATCTATAAAACAGATGACAAATGATCTAGAAAAAAATAAAAAATTCACAAAAAAAGAGAATAAAAAATTCAAAAAAAGAGAATTTAGTATTTCCGCCTGAAAATTACGAGTCAGACGAATTTTCACCGTGATTAGGCGACTAAGAAGTAATAATATATCCATAAAACAGATGACAAATGATCTAGAAAGAAATAAAAAATTCAAAAAAAAATAGAAAATTCATAAAATTTCTATCTGAAAATTACGAGTCAATGAGACGAAATTAATTTAAAAAAACAACAATTCTCACCGTGATTAGGCTACTAAGAAGTAATAATAAATCAATAAAACAGATAACAAACGATCTAGTAAAAAATAAAAAATTCACAAAAAAAAGAGAATTTTTTATTTTCGCTTGAAAATTACCAGTTAGACGAATTTTCATCGTGATTAGGCTACTAAGAAGTGATAATAAATCCATAAAAGAGATAACAAATGATCCAGGAAGAAATAGAAAATTCCCAAAAAAAATAGAAAATTCAGAAAATTTCTATCTGAAAATGACGAGTCAATGAGACGAAATTAATTTTAATAGCATAAATTTTCAAAGTGATTAGGCTACTAACTAAGAAGTAATAATAAATCCATAAAATAGATAACAAATGATCCAGAAAAAAATAGAGAATTCACAAAAAAAGAGAATTTTTTATTTCCATCTGAAAATTACGAATCAAAATCAGACGAAATTAATTTTGCAAACATAAATTGTCACCGTGATTAGGCTACTAACTAAGAAGTAATAATAAATCCATAAAACAGATAACAAATGATCCAGGACGAAATAGAAAATTCACAAAAAAAGCGAATTTTTTATTTCCATCTGAAAATTACGAGTCAATGAGACGAAATTAATTTAAAAAAACATAAATTCTCACCGTGATTAGGCTACTAAGAAGTAATAATACATCCACAAAAAAAAAGATGTCAAATGATCTAGGAAGAAATAAAAAATTCAAAAAAAGAGAATTTTTTATTTTTGTCTAAAAATTACGAATCAATCAGACGAAATTAATTTAAAAAAAGAACAATTCTCACCGTGATTAGGCTGCTGCCTAGGCAAACGAACCACCCCCAACCGCCATCAGGCGCCCTCTTCTTGGAGTGGACAACATTCACCATCTTCGTTTCGTCATACAAACGTGTTCAAACAACAATTTATTAAATATCGTCGAGAGTCTGGCCAAAGTACAATCGTACGCGAAATTTAGTCTAATTACACTTGATTCACTTTTAAACTGTTTAACGATTCAACAGGTAATCCAAATCGACTGGTTCCTCACTTCTTCCTTCAACTATGACTAATCACTGTCACTCTGAAGCAAATTGATTCGTCCTTCGTTCCTCTTTGTTCTGTCGTCCATGGAAAAATATTAGAGTAACTCTGTTTATTAATACGCCAAAAGAATGTTCTCCTCACGTTCGTCGACAAATAAAAATTCTGAGTGATTTCAGGCCCAACTCTCCTTCTGTCTTCAAGAATGCAACTCTCTGAACATCGTGACAACCTGAGAGAACAAAATTCCCAATTGTTTCTCTGCACAGCATTTTTTAAACGTAGAAAATCTGCTTATCTCCCGATTTGAATTCGAAACGATGTTTTATTTATGTCGTCGATTTACATTTCGGTGCCACAGAAGGCCACAAGTGTTTCGAACGAAATTTCAATTTGATCTGTGTGTTATCATCGATAGCTCGAAATATTTCGTTTAGACTCGATTCAAAATTTATTAAATTTCTAAAATCATTTTGCACTATTTTCTTTTTACTCACTGTGTCTGATAGAGTCCCTGAAGAGGAATGGAGAATTATGGTTGAGTTTGAAGAACACATTTTTCTGAAATTGTTAAATATCCGTTAAAATATTATTTTAATATTTATAGTGAAAGACAGTAATAAATTGAGTAAGTTGCTTGGGATTTGAATTTGAATTTAATTAGAATTGTTATAAACTATATTGTGAATAATATTGAACATGGTTTTTGCATTGCAGTAACAATGGCTTATCAACTTGCATGAGAAAGTAATGCACAAGATCAGAGCCCGTTGCCCTCTGGTTCAAATATTCTGATTCGCGTGAAAACAACAAACGCGTTCCCAGTTTGTTATTATGTTACGTGTAGATATCTACTATTTATAACAATATACCAGAATCTAGCATCAAGCGTACCAAATCAGTCAATTTATTAATTTTGTTTCATTTTTTAAAACACTTTTCTCAATACAAATTATTATAAACAAGATACGATAAAACGTAACAAAGATAGTGACTTAGTGTCTATAATTATTTCTATCATTTTGCTAATCCATGTATTATAAATGACGTCAAAAATTGATAAAAGAAAATTGTTCATTATTGAGGGGAAAAAAATTCAAATTTTTTTGTTATCTTGTGAGGCAAATTATATAGTATTTAAAATCGAGTTTCTCACTGTAATTAATGTGGAATATATTAATGCTAAACGATAAGAATATAACACATTGTTAAACAATCCCCAACAAGGTCACATATGGATTAATCTGCATTAGAAGTTTCGTTTTTTATATCTTATAATATATATATACATATATGAAGATAAGGATGGTCCGGTGCTTCTCGGGAAAATCATATCACGCATTATGTGCGGCTTACAGACCAGATACCACTTGATTGAATTGTGTCGTATCTCTATACAGGGTGTTCGGCCACCTCTAGCAAAAATTTTAATGAGCGATAGTAGAGGCCAAAATAAGACGAAAATCAAGAATACTAATTTGTTGGTGGAAGCTTCGTTAAAAAGTTATTAACGTTTAAAGTGCCGCTCTTACTGAATTTTTTTCTCGAAAATGCGCAAGATTTCGGGGGTATGTCTATTCACCAAAAATGACTGTAATTGAACCCTACAACCGAAAATAATTTTTCCACAACGATTTGCAATTTTTTAATTTTCTCGAATAATTTCACACCTTCTCTATTTTTTTTCTCGAAAGTGGGCAGGATTTCGTGGGTAGGTCTAATGACAAAAACTGATTGTAATTGACCCCCGCGACCGAAAATAATTTTTCCACAACGATTTGCAATTTTTTTTCTCCGTTGAAAAATTTAGGCACCTGATTGGATTTTCAGTAAGGAATTTTTTTCTCGAAAGTGCGTACGATTTCGGAGGTATGTGTAATGACAAAAAATGATTGTAATTGATCCCCGCAACCGAAAATAATTTTTTTAAAACGATTTGAAAAATTTTTTTTCGCCGAAAAATTTCAGCACCTACTCGATTTTTTTTCTCGAAAGTAGATAGGATTTCGGAGGTATGTGTACTCACCAAAAATGATTGTAGTTGACCCCCGCAACCGAAAATAATTTTTCCAGAACGATTTGAAATTTTTGAATTTAATTGTTAATAACTTTTTAACGAAGCTTCCATCAACAAATTAGTATTCTTGATTTTCGTCTTATTTTGGCCTCTACTATCGCTCATTAAAATTTTTGCTAGAGGTGGCCGAACACCCTGTATGTACTGACGCAAGGTGCAGGTGTGTACAATTTTTAAAACAGCATCATCAAAAAAATGCTCTTAGATTGTTGTGTTTTTTTTGAAAACTTCTGTACCGTAGAAGCGAACTTGTGACTATATATGAAGATAAGATAAGACGTGTATGTAAAATGATCATAATTTTATGTAACGTTCCTCGATATAGCGTTATATTTATTATATTTTTATAAATATAATACACGAAATTATATTTTTATAAATATAATACACGAAATTATATTTTCAAAAAATATAATACACGAAATTATATTTTTATAAATATAATACACGAATTTATTTAATTTCACAAATATAATACACGAAATTATATTTTCAAAAGATTTAATACACGAAATTATATTTTCACAATTATAATACACGAAATTATATTTTCACAAATATAATACACGAATTTATTTAATTTCACAAATATAATACACGAAATTATATTTCCACAATTCTAATACACGAAATTATATTTTCACAAATACAATACACGAAATTATATTTTCACAAATATTATACACGAATTTATTTAATTTCACAAATATAATACACGAATTTATTTAATTTCACAAATATAATACACGAATTTATTTAATTTCACAATTATAATACACGAAATAATATTATCACAAATTTATATTTTCACAAATATAATACACGAAATTATATTTCCACAATTATAATACACGAAATTATATTTTCACAATTATAATACACGAAATTATATTTTCACAATTATAATACACGAAATTATATTTTCACAAATATAATACACGAATTTATTTAATTTCATAAATATAATACACGAAATTATATCTTCACAAATTTATATTTTCACAAATATAATACACGAAATTATATTATCACAAATATAATAAACGAAATTATATTTTCACAAATATTATAGACGAATTTATTTAATTTCACAAATATAATACACGAATTTATTTAATTTCACAAAAATAAAACACGAATTTATTTAATTTCACAAATATAATACATGAAATTATTTAATTTCACAAATATAATACATGAAATTATTTAATTTCACAAATATAATACACGAAATTATATTTTCACAATTATAATACACGAAATTATATTTTCACAAATATAATACAGGAATTTATTTAATTTCACAAATATAATACACGAAATTATATCTTCACAAATATAATACACGAAATTATATTATCACAATTATAATACACGAAATTATATTTTCACAAATATTATACACGAATTTATTTAATTTCACAAATATAATACACGAATTTATTTAATTTCACAAATATAATACACGAATTTATTTAATTTCACAAATATAATACACGAATTTATTTAATTTCACAAATATAATACATGAAATTATTTAATTTCACAAATATAATACACGAAATTATTTAATTTCACAAATATAATACACGAAATTAAATTTTCACAAATTTAATACACGAAATTATATTTTCATAAATATAATATACGAAATTAAATAAATTCAAACAAATATAAGTATTATAATTTCACAAATGTAATACACGAATTTATATTTTCACAAATATAATACACGAAATTATATTTTCATAAATATAATATACGAAATTAAATAAATTCAAACAAATAAAATACACAAAATTATTTAATTTCACAAATATAATACACTTCAAAATAATATTTTCACAAATTTAATACACTAAATTATTTAATTTCAGTAGCCTATGGAACCAGATTTAGTATTATTTCCCAACTATTTACTTTCGCGTCCCATTCAGAGATAAGTTGTTCAGAATTTTAAATTAGGAACTTTGTTCGTGCAAACATATTTCAATAATTTAAACGTAAACAGTCCGATCGAAGCACATTTTAGCATGCATTATTCATCGCGAATTTTATTCATTCTAAAATCCATGCATACACACGCTTAGAACCAAAATGCAAATTATATTAATAACCAGTGCAATCGTACAGTCGATAACGAACTTTATCCCAGACATGCTTTCCACTATTAATTGTTTTATTAATTGGACACTTGTTTACGATTTAAATACCTCAAAACATTATTTATAATATTCGAATCAGACCACTGATGGTTTATTTACATAATTTCATTCTAAAATTTTTCATCAAATTTTCATTTTCAGTGTAAAATTTTTATAAAAAATTAATATGTTCAAAAAGCATATTATTATTCATTTATTAACAGGAATAAACCCTTCAGTACAAAATATGTGATATTTAAGGAATTAAAAATGTGATTTTTACATAGTCAAAAACACTAATATTTAATACAATATTTAAAGAAAATCTTAGTTACCAATAAAACTCTATTAGACGTTTATTTAGATGGTTTATTTACATAATTTCATTCTAAAATTTTTCATCAAATTTTCATTTTCAGTGTAAAATTTTTATAAAAGAATAACAGGTTTAAAAATCATATTATTATTCATTTATTAACCGGGAATAAACCCTTTGGTACAAAAAATGAGATATATAAGGAATTAAAAATGTGATTTTTACATAGTGAAAAAACACTAATATTTAAAAAAAATTTTAGTTACCAATAAAACTGTATTAAAAAAATTCGAGAATGAAAGGAATTTTGTTGGATGAAACTTTACCGAAATTGGTCCAAAGTCCCCCAAAGGCGATCTATCGATCGGATCCAGAGAGGGTAGGAAAATGGTGGAAGCCCGCCTCGAATCGATAAAGGCACTCGACTGTTGCTCGACAGAGCCCCGGGTTCGGTCGATGTTTCGCTATCGATATCGCCGGTTATCAGTATTGAAATATGTCGTCAGGATACGCGTTTTAATCGCAGGTCGAC